CCTAAACCCTAAACCGCGAGGTGATGCTCGTAAGAGCTTGGTTCAGGTCTTTTGAAGCGGAGTGCGGTGATTGGGCATCAACCCTCAAGCCGCTACTTGCAGCTAACTCCTAACTCCTAAGCCCTAAGCCGTAGTTCTCCAATACCCAACCTTTATAAACATCTTGGCTTCTTATAGTTTGAAATTCAGTAGTACTCTGAAAATGTAACCTTGTATTTCCCTGGCTTATTGGAGAAGTAAGAAGCCCTTTATTAACCGCCGCCTTGGAAGCTTTTGGCTGAAGTAAAAAATCTGGGCGCTGACGTTATCAGAGTGGCTTCGTACGCCACAGTGACGAGACCAGGCGGGCTGCATGGGTCTTCAAAGCTTCTTCAACATGGGCTTCAGGATCTGGTACGGGCTTTCGGTTCGTTTTTCCTAGACCCTAAACCTTACGCAGGGAACCCTAAACTCTAAACTCATAGCCCTAAACCTGAACTTCCCCTGAACTTGAACCCTAAACCCTTAACCCCCAAAGGCCCATCACCTTAAAAGCTAATCCTGAACTCTAAAGCCTAAACCGCCGCGGCTGTCTGGATTGACTGCCGGGTTGAGCTGTGATTCCTCTAAGCGGTTCCGTGAAAGGGTTTAGGGTTCCTTCCCTTATATAAGAATTTTACAAGGGCTTCCTAGAATTAGTAATTACTAGCGGGGCCTTCATATAGCAGCCTCATTCCGAAGGGTTCCTTGTTATAGGGTTCCTTGCTATCGCTGTGGTAGAGTATACCCCACAACCCTGTTCGAACTCTTCTTTGCTTACGCCCTATCCTGAAAAGAGCCCTACCCTTAAAGGATCTGCTGTCATTACCGGCCCCAAAACCCTATTCTAATTATTAATGTCCCTATAGTAGGGTCTGTAGAGGGCTTAGGGTTCAGGGTTTTGAGTTAAGGGGTATAGGGTCTGGGTTGTCAGATCTTCCAGGGTTTGGGGTTTAGGATTCAGGGTTTGGGGTTTGGGATTTAGGGTTTAGGGTTTAGGGTTTGGGATTTAGGGTTTAGGGTTTGGGATTTAGTGATTTAAGGTTTAGGGTTTGTTTTGCGGTTTCGGATTTAGGGTTCAGGGGTCAAGTCGGGTTAAGCGGGGTTGAGTTAGGGCTGCCTCTGATGATTGACCTCTGAAACCCCGCGACCCCAAAGCCTCAACCCCTAAACCCAAAACATCCCTAAACCCGGGGTGCGGTGTACCTGTAGCCGAGGAGACCTACCTGTTTAAGGAGCTAGAAAAAGAAACCACAACAAGGAAGCCTAACAAACTAGGTCTCTCCGGCTACAGGTAATATAGGGGCCTAGATATTTACCTATACTATTTTGGGGGGTTCCTTACTACTTAATTGCTACAGTATAGTCTGCCCCAAAACCCTATTCTAATTAGTAGGGCTTCGAACCCTAAACCCCAAACCCTAAACTCCCTAAACTCCCTAAACCCTAAACCCTAAGCCCTTGTAACCTTGCCGGGATTCTGGGCTCCGAGGCTTCTGGTAGCCCTCTGCTTTTTGGGGCCTTAGTTGGAGGTTCATGGGTAGTTATAAGTGGGGTTATAAGTGGGGTTCCTTTAAAGGGTTCTATAGGGTTCATATAGGGTTTAGGGTTTAGGGTCTAGGGGTAGTTGTAAGTGGGGGTATAAGTCGCCTAATATGGGTTATAACTATAGTTTCCCCTCTTATAGCCTCCAAGTAAGGATTAGACTGGGGGTTGAGGGGTTCAGGCTTTAGGGTTTAGGGCCTTAATGATTAGACTGGGGGTTGAGGGTTGAAGGCTTCAGGGTTTATAGGGGTTAGGGCCTTAACGATGAGACTAGGGGTTGAGGGTTTAAGGGTTCTGGGTTTATACGGTTCAGGGGGGGTGTTTTCGATGATGAAAGGGGCCTACAGGAGGACACCATGTGTAGCTACTCCGGCTCTCAACCCTTATAGGCACTCCCAGAGGAACCCACCAAGACCCCAAACCCGAAACCCTAAACCCTACACCGCAAACCCGAAACCCTAAACCCTAAACCCGACATCCGAAACCCTAAACCCCAAACCCGAAACCCTAAACCCGACACCCGACACCCGAAACCCTAAACCCAAAACTCTAAACCCTAAACCCTAAACCCGAATCTCTAAACACTAAACCCTAAACCCGGATCCCTCTCAGATCTTCCATGGCGATCGGCATTTCCGACAGCCCGGCCTACGTCAGCCTTTCCGGCACGTTTGACGAAGCCCGCACCATGTTCAGGGCTTCTACTTGGCTGATCTGAATTATATCTAAAGTTTAGGGTTTAGGGTTCCTTAAAGGGTTTAGGGTTTAGGGTTTAGAGTTTATGGTTGAGGGTTCGGAACGGTGGCTTTGGGTAGGGTTTAGGGTTTAGGGCTCATAGAGTTTAGGGCTTAGGGCTCATAGGGTTTGGGGTTTATGGCTCAGAGAGTTTAGGGTTTAGGGTTCAGGGTTCATAGGGTTTAGGGTTTAGGGTTCAGGGTTTAGGGTTTAGGGTTTAGTGGCGTGGGAGTAGAGGCTTCAAGCCGGAGGATTTAGGGTCGAGACCCCTGTGTGCCCCATGTCGCTAAATCTGTTTCGACCTTCCTTCAAGTATATACCACATAGGTACTATAGGGGCCTCAATAATTACCTATATTGTTTTGGTGGATCCTTATTATATTTAGACGATAAAGGACCCCAAAACCCTATTCTAGGGTATCCTGAAATTATTCCAGCCCTGACACCTTCATCCACCAGGATTGCGCTTCAAAGTCCACCCTTTTTCTGGGGGGATACTCAGATAGCTGTATGGCTTCGCCACCTGAACAGCAAGTCAATCCTTAAAGCATCCTAAACCCTAAACCCTGAA